GACAAGTTCGAAACCCGGCATAATACTATTATCAAGGTATCATAAGTATGCCAGCCTTGTCAAACTGCGCCTTCACTCACAGTCTAGCAGTTGAGACAAACTGCTCCTTCTCGTAAGGCATCATAAGTATGCCAACCTTGTCAGGGGGAGTTGCCTAAGTTCAGCAATTGGTTGATAACATTTTAGTCCACATATATTTTATGATTAACATCTATATCTATATCTATATCTGTATATCTATCTATCTATCTATCTATCTATCAATCAATCTATCTATCGATATATATACTACTACTAAAAATATGAATGAGGTTGTGGAACTTTTCTTGACTAAAATGCCCCTAGTTGCTTAAGTTCAACTATTACTTTTGACTTCATTTATTTATTTTTTGGTTCAATAACAAATTCACATTAAATTAATGAGAAAAATAATTTACAGTACTGCACAAAGACTTTTCACCTCATTTAATCCCCTTATTAAGTCTTATATTTTAGGTATTAACTCCCATTCTCTTAAATCCTATATTGAAGTTATTCTTCACTAATAAATGCTGGTTTTACTTTTACATTGTTAAAAGTATTCTTTACCTTATAGTTTAAACTAGTTTATATTTATGTTATTCTTTACCTTACAGTTAAAAAGTAAAAGTCAAACCCATGTATTTTAGAACCGACCCAAAAACAAAACCATTCTTTAGTCAAAGTGGTGATTTAGCAATTCAACCATCTGAATTGAATTGGTCAACCACATTCTTCTTCTTCTTCCTCTGAGCTGAGTCAAGAGAACAGGGGTTTTATTTCTTGTCTTTAGGAGGAAATCTCAGAGAGGGAGTTGGTAGTGAAGGAAGTGAGCGAGGGTGGGGTGGAGCTGAGTCAAGACCCCCCCCCCCCTTTCAACTAGTGTTGTACATCTTTATTCTTCTTAATATAAAAGATTTTTATTAAAAATAAAGAAAAAATGAGATCCCCCCTTCCTCTTCTTCCTCCTCCCCTTCCTCTTTCTTCTTCCTCTTGACCCCGTCCTCTTCAGGTGGCTTATGTCTCCTTGTGTTTGGGAGGCTTACGCCTCTTACGTTCTGAACTACGGCCTCACGCCCCTAGGTAGTGGAACGCCTTGTGTCATGCCTCCGCATGTTAAAACATTGGTTGGAGGAAGGGTGGGTATTGAAAGAATAGTCGAGAGACAGGTGGAGGTGAGAAAATCTCTTGGCTTAATTTTTCTGGGTGGGAGAAAGTTGTTAGAAGGGCAATTGAGCATTTAGAAAGGAGTAGGAGAGTAGAACATAACAGGAAGAAAGCTACTGGGGAGAGGGGGTGGGGAGTGGGAGTAAGGAGAAGGGAGGGAAGAGGACTTGGTTGAGGAAGAGTGAAGGGTGTCGACAGAAGAAGAGAGAGGGGAGTGGTGGGTGGAGTAGAAGCTGAAAATTAGATTGTTTATCTTGGAATGGTAAGGGTCTGTGGGAAGGAAGAAGAAGTGCCTTGCTAAGGAACACGGTGAGGTGTTTCAATCCAGATGTGAAGATACTGCAAGAGACAAATGAAACAAACATGAAATCCTTGATTTAGGACTAAAAATGAGTTTTGGGGTGCCAATTTCTTGATAGAATGGAGATGGGTTTAGTATATCACTTTCAGTGTGGGCTTGGTGTTGCCTGAGTTTGCATGAAGTCAGTTGAGAAGATTCTTGGGGACGGTTTACGGGAGGTGCTGGTTTTCAAGTTTGTGTTTTGATTGAATGTTCATGATAACTTATGTCATTTTAATGAAAATTTATTTTTATTATCAAAAAAATATTGGTGGCATTTCAAACTTTTTCGGTTGATTATATGATAAGAGCTTGGGCAGAAGAGGCAAATACATCTATGGTGAAAGACATAATGATAATGGAATGTAAACTTCCAACAAATGATAAGATAAAGCTGACTTTTGATTGAAGCTCTTTGGGTAGTCCCGGCCTAGCAGGCATTGGGGGTGTATTCAAAGATTCTTTTGCAAGATTGTAGCCATGCACTCAGGTCTAGTTAGTATTGGGGGTTATTTGAGAGCTGAGTTATTCGCACTACCACAAAGACTAATAATAGCAAGTAAATTGGGCTTTGACATGTGGAGGTGGAACGTGGAAGGGGACCTAAGGTTGGTTATTATCATGGACAAGCTGCAAGACTCCAGGTGCTTAGGTGTACAGGCATACCCTAAGGGAAATTGATTTGCATAGCTAAGGACATGGGTCCTACTTTCAAGTAGGTTTTGAGGGTTGCAAATGGGATGGTTTAGCTAAGCAGGTGGTTTATAGGCGGCGATTATTTTGGGCAAAGTTGTAATCAACTTTTCTGTATTACAATTTACACAAGGGTTGTTGAAAGCTCTTTCAATATTTGATTGAACTTTTCATGATTTAATTTAATAAATTTTCTCTTGCTGATAAAAAGAACAGATAAGAAAATAATAAAAAGAAACTAGTATATGAGTTATGAAATATTATAAACCTACAAAATAAATACTTTATGCTAGGTGGAGGCTATTTGACAAAGCCCCACTCCTTTATAGACACCCCACCTAGAAGAAAGCCTTTAACCTTTGATGGAGTGGGTCTCTCTTAAATAGCTTCTGAAGGAAACGGATGAGGTGGGGGTTGACTTGATGAAGTGCTTTAAAAAATGAATCACAAGAGTAAAACCAATTGAATTAGGTCACTTAACTATCTTATCTTCTCTAGTGGTACAAATGAAAACAGCCCAAATCTTCTGAAATAATTGTTGATTTTCTTCACATTCCTGTTTCCTCATCCTCTTCTGAGATCCAAGTCCCAAGGCAAGCCCCAACAACCATAGAAACTGGGGTAGAAATGCACTTGGCAAAAAGGGTACCTCCCCATCAAGGTGCTCACAGTGATGTAAAAGGCATGCCTAGGCACAAAGGCGAGGCACATGCGCATGCCTGGTGCACCTAGGCGTGTGCTTGATGTGCCTTGCGCCTTAGCCCAGGCATGTGCCTTTTGAAAATTTCACACTTTTTTGCTTTTTTATGAACCTAGCAGCTGGGCCAGGGGCTTCGCCCCTGGGCCCCCGTACCATGCCCCTTAAGGCAAGCCCAAACAAGTCCATGTTAGGGTCTTTATTCTTAGTTCTCATTTCATCCTAATAAAACATTACATTAGCTACTTGAAGTAATGCAATTGAGGAAAAAAGGAGATTGTGGGTTTTACATGCTTGAAAATGTTTTATATGTTTGATTTTATTTTTAAATTTTCATTTGAATACGCTTTACACGTTATGTTTTTGTATTTTAATTTTAGATAATAGTTTTTTTTAAAACATTTGTTTTAAAATTTAAGTTTATATTTTTATTAGTATTTTGTTTAATATTTTTTGATTTTTTTTTGAATTTTCTGACATTTTTTTTTGATTCTTTAGCATTTTTTTTGTATTTTTACGCCTTGCTTCAAAAAGGCGTGCGCCTTGGGCGCAAATGGGCCCCTGTGCCTTCTGTTTTTATAACACTGGTGCTCAATTCTATTGATATCCAACTCTTTAGCGTGTCCATAATGATTATAGTGTGCATTCAATCCATGAGCTCCCCTGACTTCCTAAATTCTAGAGGATCCATTTCCCAAATTTCATACCCACAAGTCATATTCTCAACTCAACAAGGCCATATCCCAACTCCCAACCATATGGGTGTCTTCTACTGAAACCTTGATTTGCCATTCCACTTTGCCTTGGGCCATCCATGGTTCATTTATGAATCCACAAATTTATTTATTTATTTTTACTCAACTAATCCCAACAATGTGAGGTTGGCTACATGAATATGTTCTTTGTCATGTCCCTACTCCATAGTTCAATTTGCAACCAATCCCCCTCTTATTGGTGTATTATTTGATTTTTTATCTACTGACCTAACCACCTTGTTCATTTTCATTTTTTCACCTATTGGGGCTACTGTTCAGTGCTCATGAATATGCTAATTTAATCATTCTTAGTTTGTTAGTCCACCCGTATCAATTTCTTACTATCCCCATTTTTGCTACACTATTTTTTTTTTGGATATTTTATTTTTTCGACTGCCTAACACCTTGCTCCATGCAACATTGTTGGCCATGTAGCCAGCCATCTTTAGAATTATCCTTTCAACTTGATTTGTATTCTCCAATCTTGTAACACACTCGATGACTTCTCCATTTTATCTGTCCTGCTCTAATTCTATGACCTACATTATCCTCCATCAATAGTTGGCATTAAGTTGTTGCTGGGTAGCACCAGGTCCTTTTGGCATTGCCTAGTGATAAAATTCTCAAAGAAAATTATGAAATTCCCAAGTTATGTTTTTCTTAGTAATAACATTTAGCATGCATCAGAATTAAGCAATATCAATGATAAATATGAAATTCATAAGGTGTGTTTCTATTTTGAATAACATTACATATATCATGCATCTGAATTAAAATGTCAATCATTTCACCAAGTAAAAGTGGATTTCACCTAACTAAGCACATATTGAATTATCAAAAATATAGTGCAATGGTGGTTGAATTAATAAATCTCACAAATTATCGTATGATAATCATCACCAGACAGCAAGAATGTGCACACTCACATACTCGTATTCAAGAATGCTATGCCAGATTTTTTTTTAATAGTAAAAAGTAAATTCATTGAAAGAAGAATGTTACATACAGGTGAAGATATTTCACCACAGAACATTACATCAATAGAGAGTCCGAACTCCTTCCAACAAAAAACCCTTCCAATACGTTCCAACATGATCTATGCGCCCACACATCTCAAACACATCCCATCAATGTTTCCGAAACATGTTTGAGATTTTTTCCCTTAAATTTTGTAAACATGCCGTTAATGTTTATGAAACATGTTTGAGATATTTTTCCCATCAATGACAGAAGTAGATCTTGTAATATTTTTCCTTTTATTTTTCAGCATGTTGATTTCTCTAGACTTCTACAGAATGCTTACATATTTTACTAATCTGGTGATATTCAGGATATTAGCTAATTCCAAACCTTGTCCTAAATGCAAGCGTCCAATTGAGAAAAACCAGGGCTGTATGCATATTACGTGCACACCACCTTGTAAATTTGAGTTCTGCTGGTATGGTTTTTATCTTGCTTCATCGACATGTAAATTTGGATTTTCTTCCTAATGCATTTTATCTTTTTTTTTTTTTTATTGTATAGATATAGATTGTACTTGTAGATAATTAAATATGGATTTTATTTTTCAATGAACTCTTGAAGAATAAAGGCTTATAAAGAAAGTGATTTTATTTATAGGATTTTTATCTTTGTTGCATGGTTATTTACAGGAACCTTTCTTTTTCCAATGCATGATGTATATAAATGTGTGCAGGCTGTGCCTTGGTGCATGGTCGGAACATGGTGAGAGGACAGGTGGTTTCTATGCATGTAATCGTTATGAGACAGCAAAGCAAGAGGGTGCGGTAAGACTACATATTTATTTATTTATTTTTTCTGTTTGATCATTTAATATTATGTTCTTAATACCATCAATTTTACTTGGGATATGTACTTCAGAATCTTTGAAACTTTCTGTATTGGTTACAGTATGATGAGACTGAAAAAAGAAGAGAGATGGCTAAGAATTCTTTGGAGAGATACACTCATTATTATGAACGATGGGCAACTAACCAGTCGGTATGTTTAGCCTCATTAGATCATCTCTTTCCCATTTCTTTGTTTTTTTATGAGAAGATATAGAGTAATGTACTTGTGTATACATTCCATTTACAATGCATTGCTGCATTATGGGATTGCCCGTGTCTTCTGACAAAAACAATCTAGGAACAAAAGTAGGAATTCTGCAGAGTCCAAACAATAAAAGATGGGAGTAACTGATCATAAAAAAAAAAGATGGGATTGGGGACCCTTGATTAATTGTATATAGAAGGCCATGAGGTGGTCAGTGACATGACTTTCTTTAGCATTTCTTCCTTTTGAGTTTTGGCTTGATAAATAATTTTGATGTGACATTTCTTTGACTTACCACATTAATAGTAGGTCACTGTTAGTTGTGTCACTTATCATTCTTGATCATTTTAAACTCATTTATTAGCATCCTTATATGGCAGTAATATTGAATCTTGAATTTATTTCTTTTCCTCATGCTTGCATTTCTTTTCCAATTATAGGTTTTTTAGTTAGGGGCTAATTATTTTAATAGGAAAAGAAACTTTTGTTTCTTGGACCTTTTGGATCTCAACCATGTGCTCCTACTAAAACATCTGCCCTTGGGGGTGAGGGCCTGTAATTACCCTTGTTCTTGGCTTCCTTATGTCCCACAACTGTGGAGTCAATGGGTTTTACTCGTTCCAAATTTGTAAGAGATCTGGTGCTGCTCGGAAGTGTAAAACCATCTCTATCAACAGATTTGTTGCCTAAATAAGCATACTTGTAACTTCCTCTTTTATTTCTAGCAATTAGTATAAACAATGCGAGGTACATTAGCTCCCACAATTTTGAGTTTCTCCTCGCATTTTGTTCTCTTCTCTCTTTTTTCATTCTTCCTAACATTCTTAACTAATGTTTCTATTGTATTGTGATCCAACTTGGTATTGGAACACGTTACCTACTATTTTCTCTATGTCTGAAACCTGTGCATAACTAGGATCAGCACTGCATGGGAAATTGAATAGCTTTATCAATCCCAATGATATCTATAGGATTTTTTTTTTTGGAGAAGAATGTAGTTTGCTTTGCTGCCTAGTGTGGGTGATGGAGGTGGTTTGTGCAGTTCTGAAAGTCTAGGGGAATGATGAGCATAGAAAGGAGAGAGAAAATCCCTCTAAAACACAAATCTGAGGGATGAACGAAGGGTTGGAGTTATGGGGTGCTAGAACTCTTGGATTCTGAGATTCTGGATGTTTGAAGTTCTAAAGATATGTCCAGAAAGCTCCCTTTTGGATTTTTAAGGTATTCCTCTGCCCTTGGGTGTCATAGGGAGGGTGTGGCCACTTGAAATGCGGGAAATTTTCTTAGTTAGAGAAATATTGTGGTTTGTTATGCTAGCTCAGCATTGGTCATTGCGGAAAAAAGTGTGGAATAGGCCTGGTACTAGACTAAGTGCAATTCCCAGCAGCAGCTCACACATCCCCCAATCACAACCCAGCCATATGCTTTCACTTGTAATATTCTTATTTGCCATTAACCTTATCTCTCATGACAAATTAGCAATGGCATCTTTTTTTTTTTTTTTTTTGCATATTGGAGTATCTATGCTATTATGTTTTGTGTCTATCTCGCACATGCACATCTAGTCAGTTGGGTCTATTGTATTACACATGTCAAACAGTTGAGCAACATGAAATTTAGTATCTTAGTTGGGTCTAACATTCACTGCTACTTAGGTAGGATTAGTCCCCTATTTTTGAAAATATGAACACTTTTTGTGCAGGGCATAGTTTTCAAAAATATTGGATGGGTTGGGTAACAAATTAGCAGTCAAATTTCTTGAAAAAATGGAAGTTTATGTGATTTGAAATTAGCCCCCGCATAAAGATTGATTATTTCATTACTATTGGATAATGCAGTGATATTGGGGCTTTTCTAATTAGTTCCCTAGCAAGGAAAAATTGGTTGAAATCAGTCCCTTTTTGTTCCAGAAATGATTAGCCCAAGGTTTAAAGTATCGACACAGGCCGATATGCTGGTAGGGCGTTTGGTGAAGCCTTTAGGGATGGTTACAACAGGACAAAGTTGAATTTAGATTGCAGCTCTCTTGGCAATACAGGTCCTTCAGGTATTGGTGAAGCTTTTAGGGATGATTACAGGATAGTGGCTCTTTTCTCAGGCCCAATAGGCACTGATAATTTACTTAGAGAAGAAGTTTCATCTCTCATGCAAGAATTAAGAATTGCTAAGCATGAACTTCAGGCAGGTGGATGTGGAAGGGACTTTGCTGGTATTGGTGTGGTTGAATAATAACAGTCAAGGGATCTGGAAATACAGGCAGGTCTTGAGGGAAATCAAGGCATTAGCAAGAGAAGTAGAGGCTTCATTCAGATGGATTAGCAGATCAGCAAATGGTTTGGCTGGATCTAGCTGAGCAGGCAGTTTCTAGGGAGCAATTGTTTTGGGCATGCTTGTAATACTAAGATGTAAATGGCTTAGATCAATTGGAGCTGTAAATTTGTAACTTATACATTTTATTTAAATAAAGTCACCTCGTCTACTGGTCAAAAAGAAAAAAAAATTGGGCAGCAATTAACATAGCCCACAATCAGTTCAACACAATAGCAAGTATAGAAGCTGTACTACTCTTTATTAGAGAAACAGTACTACTACTCTTTGGGGAGATGTACCTTCTTTTTTTAGTCTCAGCCCTCAGGAGAGCAGCTAGTACCAAAGTAGTCAAGTGAAGATTGATTTCTGCATAAGCAAGCTGGGCATGGTCAATCTCTATGCTCAGCTTGTGGGGTAGTGTTGAGAAATGGGCTGTAATTGTTTGTTTTCTTTCTTTGTTAGCATTCAATAGTGAGCTTATTTCTTTCTTTCAGGATTCAGATTTCCTTATACATATACATTCTTCTTTCGCTTTTGTAATTTTTGTTTCAAAGTTGCTGTTGAATTTTGTCCAGCCATGCCTTGTCTTGTTCCTTGTGCCTTGCACAGTTGGCCTTCTAGCTTTTTAAGATGCTGCTTATCATGATCCATGGTCAAGTGTCATGATAACCAAGAAAATGAGGGTTTCTGTTTCTAACTTTATGTCCTTGAAAATTCTTGAATTTCTCTTTGCCCGAGGACTTGATGTATCATCTGGATTCCTTTCCATGTGATTTTTTTCCATGGGCTTTTGGGGTGGAAGAAGAGGAAACCTGTATCAGGAAAACTTTCAGATTTTACTCATATGGTGCCATTTGAGGCTTAAATAAAATCATGAAGAGCTTTCATATATCAATCACAAAGGAGCAGCATGCAAATAAGTGATTCTCCTTTTATATATGATGCATATGTGGTAGTAATCTTCAGACAGCCTTCTCAACGAATGCTCTAACTTTTGTGTTGGACCAATCATATCAGTTTTGCGGGTTATTAATGGGCACCATGTTACTAACCTACTAGATAATAGACGAATGAGGGCAATTCTAATTTTGTTACAAATGTGAGAATTTTTTGTAAACCATACAACCTAACCTGTTCTCAGCCACCTTAGAACTTAATGAACTTAAATTCCAGATCTGCTATCAACTTTCAACTTCACTATCATCAAATACTATTTGAAGTTTAAAACTTAGAAACCATCCAAAATGAGTTGGATTAGTTTCCCTCTTGTGACGGTGTTCAAACAAATTGATGTTTAGGTTGTTTTTCATGGTTAAGTGAAGAGGCATGTAGACTTGGCTGTGGCATGTATATAACTTTTTGTGCAGTTATATGCCTACAGAAGCCTAGTGTATCATGTGTATGAGTGGTTTATGGACAGTTGATTAAATGTTCAAAGAAATGAGTCAATGATTATCTTCTAGCAAGTCTCATGCAGCCACATGTATATGATGTTTTGTAAGAAGGTTGCTTAGGCTTACTCTCAGGATGATTTTTCTTCTTTGAGCTACTTGGAATTGTGTTGTTGCAGGGTTGGCACTCATTTGGTTTCCTTTACATTTCAGTGTTTAACTCAACTTGTTGGTTCTTTCACATTTACTAAATCTTCAATCTTTTTTAGTTAGAAAGTGGTTAGGAAAAAAATAGTTTGTCCAGCAATGAAGGAATGAGTAGTGTACATGGATGACCCTTTGCTTCACTGGCTACATTAAAGAAATCTGGGGGCATTCAGGTCATGTTAATGGATGTTCTAGTATATCTTGAGCAGACATTGTTCCAGCAATTAAGATCTTACATCCACTGTGATGTGGGCCATAATCTTTGCAAGTATTTCTATCTATATTTCTTTTTGTCCTTGTCCTTGTAGAGCCATGATTTGCACCAAGGTTCAAAGTATCGATCCGATACGCCCCATATGGGTGTATCCTATCGTATCTTCAGGTGCGTGATACACACGTTTACAGGTGTTTTTGGGAACCTTTTTTTATTAAATAATATATATAAAAGTAATCTTAAAACTGAAATTTGAAAAAAAAACCAAAAAAAATAAAAGGTGTGTGGTTCAAAGTGCTGATACATAGAGGTGTATTGATACTGTGAACCATGATTTGCACCAAATGCTTCATGGTCTTAACTGCACATGATTAAACTATTTCCATCAACTGCTTAGAAATTTATCTTGACTAGGAACGAGGATCCACGACAGATTAATTTTATAGGCTGCATGTGTTGTTTACTATTGTCTTCTGGTTAACATCAAATTTTTATTCCATTAGCCAAGTTTTCTAAATTAGTTTTTGCACAAGAATGAATAGACTGACTGCTTTGATTTATCATATACATTAATAGTATCTGAGCTGTGTATTGTCATTGCTTGCAGTCAAGGCAAAAGGCACTTGCAGATTTGCAACAAATGCAAGCTGTGCATGTAAGGAAATTTCTTTTAATGTTCAATATGACTTGAGGTATCTAAATGGTGATGTATTTGTTGACAATGGCTCGAGTTGTTGAATGCCATAATAACATGAAGCTATAGAGAAGGCCACAATGGCAGTTACAATGTTGTATATCACTGTGTTGGGACTAGACTTAAAACTGAGGCAATTGCTAGGTGAAACATTTCCCTGAACAAGTGGAGCTTAACTAAATAACACTTACAGGTTATTGATAAAAAAAATAACACTTACAGGTTTCACACGTTCAAGAGTTGGAGCTACCTCCAAAGGAACCACTGAGGATCACTCCCTAGGCTAAACTTTTCCCAAGTCATTGGATTATGATTATTAAATCATGTTCTTCCTCTCTAAAAATTCATAGTTATTTATAATGATCCAAAATGTGATAAGACTCACCAACAACTTCTCCTATTCCTGCTATGGGCCTATGATACATATCAGGCTTAACAAAGACATTAGGTTTCTTTTTATTCTCTTCTGCAAAATTAATGTTTCTCTTGATTTCTGCAGATCGAGAAGCTAAGTGACAAACAGTCTCAGCCTGAGTCGCAGCTTAAATTCATAACAGAGGCCTGGCTACAGGTAAGTCTTAAGTTCGTTCATCTACCTTGTATTTAGAAATCTAGCAAATGATATGAATATGGTTTGGCACCAGGATTCTAACCAAGAAATTTCTCTTTGGCAATGTTGTTAGAATTGGACTGGGTGAAAAGCTGGAAAGCTCATTGGGTCACAAATTTATCAGTTTAGTTGGTTAAACCCTATTTTGCCTGGACATGGCAAGGGCACTGCTGGATATGGTATTGGATATGAAGTTTAAACTAAAAATTCAAGTATCTGATATGATAGAACTGGGACCCGGGAAGCCAACTCGATAACCAGTCCAAGTGCCATGCCTGATCTGAGTCTGACAGGAACTTTTGGTTTCACACTGTAGGGTTGGGAGGGATACATGTTCTTGACCTTTTGTTTCTGTTAAACAAAATTATAGGCATAGTCTTGCCTTGTTGGCCACCTTTTTGAAATAGTGATTAATACTATGGGTGGGGTGATGGCATTTATTGTGATTAGTATTTGTGCTATAGTCTATCTTCAAAGTTTTAAGTAAGATGAAGTGATTTAGGATTTTTTTATTGATGGCTAGTGAACTGATTTATGATTGTCCACCATAATTTTCAAGGAGCCAAGGTGAGGCTAGGCGACTGTGGGGTGCCTTGTCGCCTAGTCGCCTAGGCCATGGATTTTTTTTATGTTAAAAACATAGATCCTAGGGTAGTTCCCTAGGTACCATAACCATATTTCTTTAATAATTATTCATGATTTTCATAAGAAAAGTATAAATTTCATATTAAAATATAGAAAATCAACATATTCATGAGAAGAAAAGGAAGAAGGAAAATAAAATTCATAAAATATAGGGGCTGAACCCTTATTTTTGTTATAGGAAAAGAAGA